GGTAGCAATTCTTTCTAAATGTAGTCTTTCAACCCCCCCTCCTCCCAGTTTTGTTGATTTGTTGATTGCGAATTTAAGGTTTTAGTGAATATTCACGACTTATAGGCGGAAGGATAACAAGAGCTAAGACATCGGTTACGGGGTAGAGTTACATGGTTACTATCATACTACTTCATATTTGCTCGTCTCCAAATATCTAAGATCAACCTCATACAAGCCAGATGTTGCTCCGTATATGGTGGAGAGCGTTGAGTCCCAACGAGAACTTAAGGAAAGGTTTGAACCAAGCACAAACAATAAATCCAGTCAGTGGCAGAATATTTGGTGGTCTCTATCCTTTACACTGAAATTTATTTACTTCCCTTTGACCATAAACGCTTAACTTGATCAGAATAAATAGATAAATAATATTACACTGTATATAATTTCTGTTCTCTGTAACGTGCAGGCATTTAGATTTGGGTCACTAGAATGACAAGTTCACATATTACGAATTTAAAAACCATACACTCGTCACAGATGGTGGTCTAGAGTGTCGAGCTTCGAGCTTTAGTTGGCCTGCTACGCCTAGCATACACGTGGTTCGATCCCTGGTGTGAGCGTTATGTGATTTGGAGACAGGGGCGCCTTCTTAACACCGCGGGTGTACACCGGGTACTCCAGTTTCCTCACAGGAAAGACTCCTGCGCGTGCGTTAAGCATAAGAAAACAAGACAATTTATCTGTGATGTCATCATTGGTGGAAGCGGAGGTTAAACACTATTAGAAGAAGAACTCGCCACACAGTTGTACATAGGCGTAGGGGCTCGATGACAGTTAGGGGGGCAGAACCCGAAATGCCCGAAAAAATTTCGGGTTTACAGACACCAGCGACCTTGTATACCCCCCCACCCCCAAAAGACAATTTTGGAATATTTGACGGCTGCAAACACGTTTTCCTGCTATTGCAGCCGTTGAACAATGCAACTTCAAAGTGGTCTAATATAGCCTAATTAAGGTGGCTGACTCGGAATTCCAATCAATCGTTTACAGTCCTCGAAGACGGGACCGTTAGGAGTAAATTTTGAAAATTTAACTGCCGCAAACGCGTTTTCCCGATATTTCAGCCAGTGAACAAAGCAACTTCAAGCGGTCTAATATAGCCTAATTAAGGTGGCTGACTCGAATTCCAATCAATCGTTTACAGTCCTCGAAGACGGGACCGTTAGGAGAAAATTTTGAAAATTTAACTGTCGCAAACGCGTTTTCCTGCTATTTCAGCCGGTGAACAAAGCAACTTCAAAGTGGTCGAATATATATTATAGCCTTATTAAGGTGGCTGACTCGAATTCCAATCAATCGTTTACAGTCAACGAAGACGGGACCGTTGGGAGAAAATTTTGAAAATGTAACTGCCGCAAACGCGTTTTCCTGTTATTCCAGTCTGTGAATACAGCAACTTCAATTTGGTCCAATATAGCCTACCTGGCTGACCCGAATTCCAAACAACCAATCAATCGTCGCGCGGTATATGGAGGCCTCACCCTCCGGAGAAAAATTTGAAAATTTAATCACCGTAAATGCGTTTTCTGCTATTCTAGCCCGTGTTAGCAACTCCAAAAGTATCCAATGGTTTTGTAACTGAAATCCCACTCTGAATTCTAACCATCCAATCAGACTGTTGCATCTGCATTCACAAATAATAATCGATGCCTGAAAAATGTCGCACAAAGTAGAGTGGCTCTAGACAAAATGTTTTAATCCATAGTCAACTCAGTACAAATTCGTGATATTCAATTACAAGAAAAGTAAAATTAGTGTTTTATTAGGGCTCGATGACAGTTAGGGAAGCAAAACTAGAAATGCCCGAAAAATTTCGGATTTATAGACAGCGGCGCCGGTTTTCTTTGAGAGGCGAATGACCCGCCAAGAAAATTTTGGAATATTTGACGGTCGCAAACGCGTTTTACTGCTAGTTTCCTCTGCCGCTTTCCGGCCCGATACCCGTTTTTCGGGCAATACCTATTTTCGGGCAATACCGTTTTTTCGGGCATACCTATCATAAGAGAGCTTCGGGCATATTTTCGGGCATATGCAGTGGACAAGAAAAAGACGAGAAAATACTTTTCGGGCAGTGTGGATCTCATAGAAATAAGTTAGTTATATTTTTTCTCTAAACGTTAATAGAAAAAAAAGGTCGTCGAATTTTTCATTGCCCGAAAATAAATTTTTGGGGAGGCAAATGCCCTCCCCCCCCCCCCCGGCTCCTACGCCTATGGGCATGCAGACTCTAAACAACCAACAATAATTAATCTTTTCATTAGTTGTGACATATTAGCCGTAAATACCCAATCTGTTTCACAGAGAATTACGAGTCTCGTATCACGCGGTGTGAATCATTGCCTGAATGACGCGTGCATTGTTGACATAAGACATAACTGCTTCTGTTTTCAGTCAATTGTTTCTTTTACTTTAAAAAGAGAGAAAACGGCGATGAATGCGACCTGTTAAAGATGGACATTAATACATAAGTTAATAGGCTGTGACATTGTCTGCGATATCAGGTGGAAGCGGACGTAAAATACAACTAACTCACGCATACATTAATTTCATTCATAATATAAATCTTGTTTGCTGTACATATGCCTACTCTTTCTTACCCTTTCTTAATAGAAACCTTAGCAACTGGAGATCATTCGCCATTAAAGATGCCTTTCCATGTTCAAAATGAAATGAAATGAAATGGGGTTTAACGTCCTACTGTTCTGCTCCTAAACTGGGTTAATGAAGACGGGCATACACCATGCAGTGTGCTATGAGGGAAATTTTGCCCGGACAGCGGCACTACGGCCTACTCTTATATCGTATTCCAACTGTCAAGGGATCTTTTACGTGCACGCCAACGTGTACACGGGACCTCGGTTTGTCGTGTCATCCAAATGACTAGACAGCTGTCCTTGTCAGGGCCTCAGAAGCGATCCTTACGTCACTCGAGCAAGCAAGCTGTCAGATAGTGACACCAATGCAGTTTTTTCCTGTGGGCGCCCCGTTGGAATGCATCTTTGATGTTTTTCCTACCTGGAATGTTTTAATAAAACAACGAGTTGAGTGTTTCTTTCTGTCATTATATAGACGTTAAACTACAGGTATAGAAACTTGATGCTCCGGGCATCACGTTTTACTCTTTCATGTTATTACCTTGATATCTCTTTAATACTGACTATTTATTTACTGCGGTGTATTTTACGGTAAACATATTTATCATTTCTTTCCCCTTGTTGTAGTAAAAGATACAAGCAATAGAGAGAGACAGAGAGAGGGAGGGAGAGAGAGAGAGAGAGAGAGAGAGAGAGAGATGTCCACTCGACACAAACTAGGTTATTTCGGGACTAACATTTGGTTCAATTTTATTTCAATAATTCGCTTGCGCGTAGAGGTCTTTAGCAGTGGGAGGAAACCGGGGAACCCGGAAAAAACCCACGAGGTTGGACAGGCGACCCTACTCCTTGCCATCCATGTACAACTGGGGAATTGAAACCACGCCAGTTGACTTAATGCCAGACCTAATGATACAGCGCACACGCGCTAACCATTCGGCCGCCCCCCCCCCCGCCTTATAGATGCTGTGGCCTTCTTCGGACATTAAAAGTATCAAATAATCTATTCATTCAAATACTTTATGTATTTACAAATGGCAGCCTGTTTTGAAAGACAAAAAAAATCAAATATATCAATGAATTGTTTCAGTCTTCACTCACAACAACGTAGTTGCTCGCTGACATTTACTTTAATGATCCCGTCTTTCGCAACTGAATTGTCAAATCACGACGATTTCAAGAAATGATTTTTACAACCAACCAAGACCTTTAAACTGCTTATGTTCCTTTCAGTTCATAATATAGTTGTCATGAATGGCAGGAGCATATATCAGAAGATATTTCGTCAGATCTTGTCAGTCTATCCGGCTACCAAGTCACAGTACTATACACGAACATTATATCGCCGATTTGTGGGGTTTTGGATCGACGATAATCCATGTTATCATCGCACAATAATGATTTAGAGAGAGAGAGAGAGAGAGAGAGAGAAAGAGAGAGAAATGGGGTTTAACGTCCACTCGACACAAACTAGGTCATTTCGGGACTAACATATGGTTTAATTTTATTTCAATAATTCGCTTGCGCGTAGGGGTCTTTAGCAGCGGGAGAAACCGGAGGATACGGAGAAAACCCACGAGGTTGGACTGGCGACCCTACTCCTTGTCACGTACAACCGGGGATTCGAAACCACGCCAGTTGACTCAATGACAGGCTTTATGATACAGCGCGCACGTGCTAACCATTCGGCCATCCACCCCCACCCCCCTCCGTACAAAATCAATCAATGCATCTTCACGAGACAGGGTACTTTTAATTCTAAGCTACGATACGTCCCTGCCAAATTTACCGTTATAAATTTGCTGACTTTTGACTCATCTGATTTGAGACAATGCCATTTGGGAAAACCATACGATGTTTTTGACCAATTACAGCACATTTCTTAGCCATGTTTATGTTTCATATTAAAGCAAACGAAAATTTCTATTTTAAATATGTAAATCGCAATCACGTGCGATAGAACCGACAATTGCATTGGCTGGTTCAAAATAGACACCGTCCGCTCACATCACAAAATATAGAAGGCGGGAAGGCGGGAAGGGGGGGGGGGCGAATGGTTTTGATTCCCGCGTGTACGTGACAAGGAGTAGGATCGCCTGCGTCCAACCTCGTAGGCTTTCTCCGGGTCATTTGGTTTGTTTTCTTCCCCTACGACTTATTACTGAAATGATTAAACTGTGTGTTTGTGTTGAGTGGAAGCTAAACTGTATCTTTCTCCCTCTCTCTCTCACACACATTTTCTCTCTCTCTCGATCGATTGATGTGGAGCGGAAGCTATGGAAAGTATAAAAACGATCTAGATCTATCTGCATATATAAACTTGTGCCATCATTGGTACTCAAAATAAATAACTGTCAACGTGCGTAAAGAAAATAACAATAATTTATTAAAACAAATTTACAAATAGATATATTGATGTCCAAAAGAAAGTATACACTGTGCATTTTGTGCTGCATCAACCAAAGTCGTTTTTCCATGGTATACGGTGTTTGGGTAGAATGTCAATTTGTTTCACATTTTTATTTTGATTAGAAATGTTGAGTTTGGACGCAAGAGACAAACTCAGTAATGCTTTATCAAATGTTTTTAATCTAAACAATATGACAAACGAAATCAAATACTATGTCATTAAGAAGAGCTTTCTTTTAAATGCCGTAATTGGTTTGACACGAAAGATTGAACAATTAACAAAATCATCAAATTCTACAAAACATTTTACTAATTTTACAGTATAACAAATTTTGTGCTTTCATGATTCCTTTACATATTGACAACCAGTGTTCATACACTTACTGGAATCTAAGTCGTTTTAGATATACTTAATATATAGATACTATCAAAATAAAAATAACTTATAAAAAAATATCTTACAAAATAACTCTATTATACACCATACTAAGGAATATATAAAGATAAACACTATAATTCAAACAAAAACAACTAAAACAAGCGGTTGCCATGCAAGATACGCCCACATTTTGCAAGAGATGGACAGAGAACAAGCTCAAAAAAAGAAGTGATTTTTTCGTACAATCAAGGGCCATAATTCAGGAAGTTACAATCCGATATGCATGAATATTGAAAGGAACCAAGATCTTTGGGTTATAAACATGTATTTCAAGTTACATCAAAATCGGATCAAAATTGTGTCCACTCTCTAGAGAGTCCAAAACCTTGATATACAATATATTTACAATATTTGCGTACGAGGGGCAGCCATTTTGTCCGGCAGTTTTTGTCCGATTTGTACGAAATTCGGACTCAACCATCATAAGGGTTTGACAGGGATATATTCAAACGTTTTTTAAAATCGGATAAAAATTGTGACATCTAGAGGGACCACATCCTAAAAACGCGATGTTTCGTACAATCAAGGGCCATAATTCAGGAAGTTATGATACAAAATGTGGGTATATGGAAAGGAACCAAGATCTTTGGGTTATAAATATGTATTTCAAGTTTCATCAAAATCGGATCAAAACTGTGACCTCTATAGGGTCCACAACCATATTTTTACGCTATTTGAGAACGAACGGCGGCAATTTTATCTGTCAATTTTGGGCCAATTTTCACGAAATTCGAACTCAGTCGTCCTTAGGGTGTAACGGTGACATAATAATACGGTTTTTTTAAATCGGATAAAAATTATGACCTTTAGGGTCCACAAGCTAAAAACGCGATTTTTCATACAATCAGGGACCATAATTCAGGAAGTTACGGTCCGATATGCGCGAATATCGATAGGCACCGAGAACTTTGGGTTATAAAATTACATTTCAAGTTTCAACAAAATCGGATAAAAATTGTGACCTCTATAGGGTCCACAACCTTGATATACCATATTTTTTACGCTATTTGAGAACGAACGGCGGCCATTTTGTCTGTACATTTTGGGCCGATTTTCATGAAATTCGACCTCAGCTGTTTTCAGGGTGTAACGGTGATATAATAATACGTTTTTTTAAATCGGATAAAAATTATGACCTCTATAGGGTCCACAAGCTAAAAACGCGATTTTTCGTACAATCAGGGGCCATAATTCAGGAAGTTACGGTCCGATATGCGCGAATATCGCTAGGAACCGAGATCTTTGGGTTATAAACTTACATTTCAAGTTTCAACAAAATCGGATAAAAATTGTGACCTCTATAGGGTCCACAACCTTGATATACCATATTTTTACGCTATTTGAGAACGAACGGCAGCCATTTTGTCTGTCAATTTTGGGCCGATTTTCACGAAATTCGAACTCAGTCGTCCTGAGGGTGTAACGGTGATATAATAATACGGTTTTTTAAATCGGATAAAATTTATGACCTCTATAGGGTCCACAAGCTAAAAACGCGATTTTTCGTACAATCAGGGGCCATAATTCAGGAAGTTACAGTCCGATATGCGCGAATATCGAAAGGAACCGAGATTTTTGGGTTATAAACTTACATTTTAAGTTTCAACAAAATCGGATAAAAATTGTGACCTCTATAGGGTCCACAAGCTAAAAACGTGATTTTTCGTACAAACAGGGGCCATAACCCATGAAGTTTCAATCCGATACATGCCAATATCGAAAGCAGCCGAGATCTTTTGGGGATAAACCTATATTTCAAGTTTCGTAAAAATCGGACAAGAATTGTGACCTGTAGAGAGTCCACAAACAAATTGTGGACGGAAGGACAGGGGCGACGACAATATATGTAATTCAAGCATTTCATTACATGGTTACTGGTCATGGTTCCATACTAAGATGATCAGGATCGGTGCACATAAATATAAACATTTTACTATAAAACTCGTTTAAACTTATTTAAAATACAGATGTGACGTCATCCTTTGATGTTGGAGTACCATTATTTCAAATAATCGTACGGGCAATGTGCCAAGCGTAACTTGGCAAAATATTGAACTCGAGTGACGTATTTCATTGCAAAGCACGTGCAAGTGTCTGTATTTTACATTGCGTAATATATTGTAAAAACATTCGGTCCTCACGGCCCTCATGTTGTTACATTATATTACTTAATGTCTCGCTCTCGACCATTAATCAATACATAATGTTTATAGATTTGATACAAACATAATAATAATAATTATTATTGCACTTAAAAACAATTGAAAAGTAATCCAATTTTCCAACATCAAATTACACATAAATAACAGCGAATGTAAGGAAGACGTACAGTGAGATACTTCTTGAAGGTTTAAGTTTTATTTCAGTCCAAGACTATCATTATTTGCCAACATTTGCAATTTTCGTTTGAGACCCGATGACTTTAGGATTTCGATATCCCACGTTGTCTTAACAATATAATCCAGTGTTGCTTTGGTTTCAATTAATTCCAGAGAGAGGCTATAAATCAGCGCCATTTGTTCTCCTGGGGTCGGATTGTCTGCTAACAGGTTTTCAGTTTTATGACGGCTTAAATCTCCCTTAATATTAAAGAAATTCTTCATCTGCAATTATATAAAAAAAACAAAGATTGTGGAAATTCGTCTTATATGGAATTCTTAATATGTAAAGAAAAATAAGCGAATGGAGAGAAAATAGAAAGACGTAAAATGTACTATTTGCGTAAGGGGCAATGAAATGAAATGAAATGGGGTTTAACGTCCTACTGTTCTGCTCCGAACTGGGCTAATGAAGACGGGCATACGCCATACAGTGTGCTATGAGGGAAATTTTGCCCGGACAGCGGCACATACGACCTACTCTTATATCGAATTCCAACTGTCAAGGGATCTTTTACGTGCACACCAATGTGTACACGGGACCTCGGTGTTTCGTCCCATCCGAACGACTAGACAGCTGTCCTTGTCAGGCCCTCCGTCCTGGCGTAAGGGGCAACATCGATCGTTTGAATTTCAGTTCTTTATACTTTTGTATATACTGAACATATTAAACTGATATTTGGACTGATATACCTAAGGATATGAACCGTCAAAGCCACACAAATAGGACGCATACATCTACTGTAAATATTTTTAGATATTGGGTCATAACTATACAAATCATTCAAAAAATATATATTTATTTTGACGGTTTAATATGAAGGCTCCCAATATTGTAAGAAAATTTTATATGATCAATTTCTAAAATAATAAACATTTGATAAAATATTTTCACAAGTCAAATACATAAGATTACCTACCGTTTCAATTAGATTCTTAATTAACTTCATTAAGTTCCTTTCCACGCTGGTTATTGTCCAGGCGCATGCGTCTGTCGTGTTGGTACAGTTTATTTCGTTTAAATACTGTGCGAATATCATTGGAAGACTCTGGTTATACTGGGCCAATACCCGTACTGTGCTTTTTACAAGTTTCTATAATAGAAGATAAATACATTCAACACACTTTGCTGGGATAGCACTCAGTTGTGTATATATATACTATTCAAAAAAAGTAGGGGATATTTGATTTTTAAGTGTTATTAAAGTCACCTAATGAAACTGACGAAGAAACAAATGACAAAATGAAATGAAGTTCACATTCATCGATTTATTCCAAATGATCGTTAGACTAAGTAAGGCACAGACTGACCATTATAAGGGTAAAATGATACCCGGGGTCAAACAGCAAAGTTACCACAGCATCACAACCAAGTCAGTAACGGGTAAATCCTCCTCTGTTTGCCAAACAAGCATTGATCCGACGTGGCATACTCCTAATGAGACGTCTAAGGTCATTTTGGTCCAGATTGTCCCATTCCTGTTGCAACGCAGCAGCAAGTTCTTGGACATTGGCAGGACGTTGTTGACGTTGACGTAACCTCTGTCCAAGCATGTCCCAGACATGCTCGATGGGGGAGAGGTCGGGACTCAGTGCTGGCCAAGGTAATGTGGCGATGTTCTGTTGTTGGAGGTAACCTGTAACGATCCTGGCCCTGTGACATCTTGCGTTGTCATCCTGGAAGATGAAACGACGTCCATGACGTCGTGCGAACGGCACAACATGGACTGCCAAGATGTTGTCCCGGTAGTACTGGCCTGTAACACGCCCTGCAACAACATGTAAAGCCGTTCTTCCAGCAACAGTGATGCCTCCCCACACCATAACAGAACCACCCCCAAATCGATCATGTCTGATGACGTTAACGTCTTGGAAGCGCTCGTTTCGACGACGCCACACCCTCCTACGTCTGTCCAAAAAATCAACAGTGAACCTTGACTCATCTGAAAACATCACATTGCTCCAGCGTCGATTATCCCAGTGTTGACGATCCCTACACCAACGACGTCTTGCCTGAATGTGATGATCTCTCAAACAAGGGATCACGCGAGGACGTCGGGCGCGAAGGTGACCCCTATGCAGTCGATTCCGAATCGTCTGGCCACTCACTCTCACACCAGTGTCTGTTTGAAGACGAGCGCTGATCTGATTTGCTGTGATGACACGATTTCTCAAGGCCATGGTACGGATAAATCGATCCTGGGCTTGAGTTGTCGCCCTTGGTCGACCTGAGCGTGGTCTGTCCTGTACAGATTGTGTATCGTGGTATCTGGACCATAGCCTGCTTATGACAGACTGAGAAACATTCATCGTCCGCGCCACAACCGCCTGTATTGTGCCGATCTGTAGCATGCCAAGGGCACGTAACCTTTCATTTTGGGTAAGCCGACGCATATCAAAATTTGTTTTCTGGTCACTAAAACAATTAAACTGATGTTTCCACCCTGGAATTCAATGCCACAATGACTGTAACATTCAAAGTCAGAGTCGTGCAAATCTTGGGTTGGACCCCCATGATGACCCCAAGCATCACCTGCATTCCATGCGGTAGCTATTGGTGCGTTTGGGCGTCACATGTAACTGGAAATGTTTCTTCTGTTAGGTTCTATAGTGACTTTTTTCGTAGTCATTTGCATATTTTAGTATTATGCCCCCAAAATCAAATATCCCCTACTTTTTTTGAATAGTATATAAGTGCATTCTTTAGTTGATTGACTGGCAAAAAAAGCAAGAAGAAAAACTACCCCGAGTCGAGTTATTAATGGTCTGTTAATATCCGAAATTTATTATTAATAGGAGACATTTGAAACCGGAGAGGTTGGAGGGTGTTTGGGGTGGGAGGTGGGGGTGTACAATACGTGTTCATAAGTTGCTTGACGGGTGTTTAATAGAATAGGAAACTAGAATGCTGGATATGAGAAGTGATATGAGGTGTTCTAGAAAGAGTAAACATACATACGTCACTTCTAAACGGGAGTAACGGTTTGGACTTGTATTTTACGAACCGATGCCTATACGATTTTTAATTCAGATAGGTATCTAGCCCCGTGATAATGCAGTTTTGGTTGATGGTCACATTGTTTCTGTTATCCCTAAAGTCTTCATTATGCGCCATATACTACGCAATTTCCGTAGTTTATGGTGGGAGAGAGAGAGAGAGAGAGGGGGGGGGGTAACGTCCACTCGACACAAACTAGGTCATTTCGGGACTAACACATGGTTTTATTTCATTTCAATAATTCGCTTTTGCGTAGGGGTCTTTAGCAGTGGAGGGAACCGGAGGACCCGGAGAAAACCCACGAGGTTGGACAGGAGACCCTACTCCTTGTCAAGTACAACCGGGGTATCGAAACCATACCAGTTGACTCGATGACAGACCTTATGATACTACGCGCTCGCGTTAACTATTCTGCCAACCAAACCCCCTCGTAGAGTATAGGAGTCTGTTTGTTGAGATCATAAAAATGGTGGTTGATCTGTGTATTTACATTCCAGATGGACCTTTAAAATAACAATATTTTTAAAATAAAAAAAATATAATACCTTCATAAACTTGTTTGAATTTTTGATGCTTAATACATTATTTTCGGGTGACTGGGGTAGGTTCAGTCTTTTTGCTTCATTAATAGCAAATTGCCAGCAGTCAACGCCAGCGTCATTTTCACCATATTTTTCCACAGCACACTGAAATAACGAAATCAGTTCTTTCTTCATTAAAAATAAGAGAGAGAGAGAGAGAGAGAGAGAGAGAGTTTAACGTCCACTCGACACAAACTAGGTCATTTCGGGACTAACATATGGTTCAATTTTATTTCAATAATTCTCTTGCGCCTAGGGGTGGGTCTTTAGTAGTGGGAGGAAAATGGAGGACCCGGGGAATCGAAACCACGCTAGTTGAATCAATGACAGACCTTATGATACAACCATTGGACCATCCAACCCCCATAAAATTGAACAACATAAAAACTGTACATTAAAACTGAAAGTTAACTACATGAACTCCTCAAATGAGAAGTGGTATCGACTATTCTAGAAGGAGTAAGTGGGGACAATGTTACAAGAGCCTCTGCATCAGTAAACTTTGAATACGCCATTTTAGGCTTGAAAAAATGCAAGGAATGTCTGACGCCCGAATGAACTTTTAAGCTAAAAATGTTTCTCACGAAAATAGATACCCGCTCAGCAAATGATTGGCATAATTTCACTCATTATGTCCGCAATTATTTATTTTTGAATAATCAAAACGTGGATCGAAATCAAAGCACACCGCTTCCCTTCATTTTAGATGCTTTGCAGATAACACTGTTTACCATATTTGGCGCCGCCGTGTCCCGAATGATTTTAAATAATGCGGAACCAGAATATACACGTTATCATCAATGAGTATTTGATGAATGAAATGGTACTATTACCAGGAAGACGTGTCAAATAGTTATAATTTGGTAGAATTTCCACACCATCATCAATGAGTATTTGATGAATGAAATGGCACTATTACCAGGAAGACATATCAAATAGTCCTACTAAACGATACTATATCTGTGACAAAAAGGGCTGCGGCTACATACTTCAGTAGCAATTTGGATAAAAGACCGAACGAGTATGTTGTTTGGTTTGATAAAGCGACTACATGACTAGAAAGAGTAACGAAACAGGATGTGGTGGGTGCGATGCAGTCGCCAATGGAGGCAGGTGTAAGATGTGTGAAATAGCTTTATTTAACGCCCGCTTCCACCGAGGTGCGAATATGGGATTCTGTTTATTATAAGGTTAATTATACTCTCTCGGGTATACGATAGACCTAGTTACTTTAGTGACGTAAATTGTATCAGCTCTGCTTTCTGCTACGTTACTGTCAGCTCCTAATGACAACTAGTATGAAAATAAGGCTTTTCCCCTATCTCGGTTCTAAGGCAATTTGAAAATTGCGTTAGTTTGAAAATGGCGGCCCAATTCAAATGAAAGTTGTTTATGTTTTTGTATCACGTAATTCTACATGAAAATAGAGTTGGATTTTTATAAATTTGTGTTGGATGTGACAAGAAATGATTCCTTTTAGCGACCAAAGGAGAATCACGGTTAAAAATAGACGGTAAGGATTCCAAAATTGCCTTAGAACCGAGATAAGTGAAAAGCCTTATTTTCATACTAGTTGTCATTAGGAGCTGACAGTAACGTAGTAGAAAGCAGAGCTGATACAATTTACGTTACTAAAGTAACTAACGACAGACCCACCCTAAGGTACGCTGAATACAAAAAAGCATTTTGTATACGAGAGGCGACAACACAACCGACCACCTATTTACCCCTGCGGTAGTGATTCAGATACTTACAAATGTCTTGCAATGGAGTTTAGTGAAAGTGGGCTCGATGCCCTAGCAGAGTAATGGCATAGGTGGAAGACTTTAAGATCGCCGCTGTATATTCTACAGCATTGCGATCATTTTATGCATAATTAAAAAGGCCGTAGTGGAACGGGGATGGATGGGTTGGTTGTCTTCAGCCACCCTCTCTCTCATCTATAAATTTGAGTTTATGGTGTATTTTAGTTTAGGACAAATCCTCTGGACCCTATTTAGTTGCGACGATCCTAATTATAAAAGTCTGATTACTTACCATGTCATTAAAAATGTCTTGTACAGCTTCCTGTAGTTCCCCTGTTAGGGGTATGAGTCTGGTTGACAGTCTCTTCCAGAACGTGTAATAATTCTGTTTACTCGATTTATCGGCTTCACTTTGCATTATGTTATGTCTCACCGGCGATCCATTAGTTTTGTAGAATAATGTAATCGAAAGTACTAGGATAGTCATTTTCATTCTTTTCATTGTCATGGTAAGATCTGAAAAAAAATATTAAAAAGTTTGATATTAAAATTGTTTTATAATTCAACGTGAACATGCTCGGCTGCTAAGAACCATTTTGTACTGCAAGGTCCGTTCTTGCTCGATACAAATTTTAAAAAACTGATCCAAACTGATGCTATGACCATGGCCGTAACTAGCCCAGAACAACGGGGGGAGGGGGGTCTCAGGGGTGTTGTAAAGTAAAATTGACGGACAATGTATATCTCAATTTGTTCACAGGGGGGGGTGGGGGACCTTTTGCTGGGAGATAAAAAAAAATGATTATCAATTATAGCAGGTGAATACGATTTCGCGCCAAACATTTGAACTCAGTACAGAAAATGAATAATTAGAAAAAAAAAAAATAATAAATAAATAAATAAGAAAAAACACTCACAGTATTCAGAACAATTACTGGTATTATATAACACACACTTATGTTCCTAACACATTCTCGACAAAATTTATAATAAAACGATTCTAGATAATACTTTTATTTATAAACAGGGGGTTTTCCAAATCACGTGGATTAAAAAGTCACGTTGATTAAATGAATATATTTGAATGGCTGTTGAATTTTAGGAAGCAAATGACTCATTTGATACAATAAGCTTTTAATAACCAGCTTCCGGTGTCAAATAATTCATTCATTATTCATTCATTCAGCATGCCATAATGGGACTTATAATAATTCAATGATGCGCGAACACAACTATTTATATCTATATATATATATATGGTTGTTTTCCTCTTGCTATATTTAGTTACTGACTAAATTCTGGATGACCTATATTTATAACGGCCTTGAATCCCCTTATACAATTACGTCTTTAAATCTAAATGAAATAAATGTCCATTATCCAAATCAAATAAAAATATGCAAAAACTTCTCATCATCAGTAAACACCATTTATCGTCGTTTAGACATTATCTATTATTTCAAAGAGAGAGAGAGAGAGAGAGAGAGAGAGAGAGAGAGAGAGAGAGAGATCATCTGCATTAACGCCCACCAGGTCCTTTCGGGACTAACATATGGTTCAATAGATCGCTTGCGCGTAGGAAACCGTCAGTACTCGGAGTAAACCCATGAAGTTTGACAGGCGACTTCACTCACGTACAAACGGGGAATCGAAACCAAGCACCTAATATAAATCCAGCTTAAGATTATACCCACTACTTGTAGGATGCTCGTTTATACCGTTTGATGACAGTGCTGAATGTTGGCAAATTTTCAATTCATCAAATTTTTGTAAATGTTGAACGGAATTGAAAATTTTTATGGAATGATATCCCTTTCGGAGATCTAGCTTCCTAAATATTGTAGATTGCAAGCTATTGCAAATCCCTCTAAATATTGTAGTTTGCAAGCTATCCCACATCCCTCTAAATATTGTAGTTTACAAGCTATTCCAAATCAATTTTCTCGGCCAACACCGGGAACTCGCGACCTCCCGGTAAGCGAGCCAGCGTCTAACCCACCGATCCACCGTGGCTCCCACGTTATATAAGAAACCAGCAAAGCTGTTGAGTACAATAATAAGCCTGTATTTACCAGGTGTTTAGGTATATAAGTATGTATATGTAAGACACTAATTAGTGGATATTAAGTCATCAAGTATATTTATATAGGTTATTTCGTATATTACGTGTGAGGCGATTAAAATGACTACTCGAGCTGTTCCTTTTTCACCTCTATGCACGACTAGCCTTTCCGGCGAATCTCCCGGTAGAAACTTGTCTGCAACATCAGCCTTGGTAGAAGCGGACCTAAAGCTTGGATATAACGGAATTAATATTTCCTTTACTATTTCATTCGTAATAATTTATCTATCCACCATTCTAGTACATAAAGGGAGATATTTCGAATTTTGATCTAAAATTCTGTTATATTATTTTTTTTTTATCTCTTAACGTTTTGCTATTAGTTTAACTACAATATTTAATTTCTAATTACATGTAATTTTATCTAACCGTTTTTTATTTATATATTTTATCAAGTATGATCTTTGTTATCTCGTTTTACTGTGTAAATGTAATATAGTCTTGCTCTTTATCATGTCTTTTTATAAAAGTGTAATTACCCCCACTCCCTATACCATGGACCTATATACCTGTGATGCAGGACGGAGGGGCTGACAAGGAAAGCTGTCTAGTCGTTCGGATGGGACGAAAAACCGAGGTCCCGTGTACACATTGGCGTGCACGTAAAAGATCCCTTGGCAGTTGGAATTCGATATAAGAGTAGGCCGTAGTGCCGCTGTCCGGGCAAAATGTCCCTCATAGCACACTGTATGGCGTATGCCCGTCTTCATTAGCCCAGGTTAGAAGCAGAACAGTAGGACGTTAAACTCCATTTCATTTCATTTCATTTCCTATATACCTGCATTAGGCAGATTTAGCTCATTACTTAATGTAAGTTTAAAGATCGGGTTGGCGTTTCATTAGGTTATGTTAGTTATGGCCCTTGGTTTCATTCATTAACACTTATCACAAACCTTCACACTAAACATTATTCATTCATTCATTCTAGAACTTTACTACCTAAATACCAATCTGTTTCACAGAAATCTTCTAATATCTCTGTAACAGATGACTGTTTCGACACGTGGCGTCACGGTTCATTCTCACCCAGCTCAAAACTTAATTAATCATGTTATAGCGTGACTAGGGTGTGAATTGGAATTTCTAAAGAAGGATTAGCTGCAGTCTGTTTTACATTGGGCACTGTTTATTTCATTAGGTTAAACCTAATAGTAAAACAAAATCACTTGATAATGTTTTATTCAACATTTATTATAGTAAAACATGTTTATTTTAACGGGAGGTCATTCTTGGTATTTAAAGTTGCGGGACAACCTTGTGTGTGTTGCTTACATCGCCAGTAGATGGTATCTTTGTAGCCGTTCTTTTTGGTGTACCACAGGCTTGTTGTGGACTAGATGTAATTTTATCACGCCCTAGACTTAACCAGGATTCTCATTGCTGGGAAGTATTTACACAAGAAAATGCCCAAATGTTCTATTCATTTTTGATGAATACACATCGACTAACACTATTACGTTTATCGGCGTAACAAATTATCTCACCCTAGTCACATGAGGATATTTTAATTACTCCAACTTTAAATACAAATTTGTCACTTGGTTTTCCAACTAAAACGGGAATTTAGAAAATGAGAAAGAGTGGGAGTGGGAAGGGGGAGTCGATTGTATAACATTGTTATGACTAATAGGGTTTTCCAATTTGATAGGATTGGTTAGGTGTAGGGGACGAGGACTTAAATTGATCAAGGTCACTATAATATAAAACATTCTCCACATATACAACCACCCCTATGATTGTCAACGTGAAATGAAATGAAATGGGGTTTACCGTCCTACTGTTCTGCCCCGAAGTAGGCTAATGAAGACGGCCATACAGTGTGATATGAGGGAAATATTGCCCGGACAACGGTACTACGGCCTACTCTTATATCGAATTCCAACTGTCAATGAATCTTTTACGTGCACGCCAATGTGAACACGGGACCTCGGTTTATCATAACCACCCGAACGACTAGACAGCTGTCCTTGTCAGGCCCTCCGTCCTGCATCACTGACAAGGGGGAACCACGCTGGAAAATCTGGATGAACTTTCTCGGTCAATGCAGGGATCGAACACCCGCCTCCAGGCTAGAGAGCCAGCGTCTCACCTACTTATAGCCACCGTGATCCCCTACTGTCAACGTAATCTGATTGCGGATAAAGAACCCTTGCTGCAGTAGCTATTATATAAGCCCAATCGACCATTATCAAAATCAGATTTATGAGCAGAAACAAACTATCGGTATCTATATATCCATCTACTGTAATATTAACAAAATTTAACTTCAATGAAACATCCTATTTTTTTTTTTACACCGATCAGCATAATCATGACGGGTGTGTGCCATACAGTGTACCTATGAAGGAAATGTTGCCTACTCTTATATCAAATTCCAACTGTCGGGGAGTCTTTTCTTTCACGCCAATGAGAACACGGGACCTCGTGATGTTGTTCCATCCGAAGACTAGTCGCTGTTCCTTGACAAGCCCCACGTTCTGCAAAACCAGGGGAAACCTTGACGGAAAATTCCTGAAACTTTCTTAGGAACTTTCTCTGTGTTGGTAAGCCAGAGTCATGCCCACTAAACTACTGTGGCTCCTCATTTGAATACAATTGGTTAAAATCCTTCACAGCAGGAATGAATTGTTTCAACGGCATTTAGATTGTTTCAGTGGCATTTAGTAATAGAACTGGAAGATACAGGCTTATTACTGCTTATTACTGAGCGACGTTTCGACTAGGCTTCTCTAGACATTATCAAGCAATGATAAAATATGAAATATAACAAGTCAATATATGAATACAGTAGCGTATAGATCACACCCCTATTCATACTACTATTTAACCACAATTGAATGTCTGACAATAAAATTATTCTATTACGTTATATAAATATTATTCAAGTCCATTTATAATATGAATTAATCTTTAAATACTGTCAAAATATTGAAGGCCATTGTGGTTTATTGAATATAATTTAAACCCCTAACAGCTATGCACTGAGTACAATTTCCGTTTTTTTGTTGTATAGCTATAATAAGAGATCCTACTACGATTTAACGTGCAACACTTATAAATTTGGGCCGGACATCCTATTATACCGAATTACAAACCGGTTAGGGTTCGATTAAGTGCACGTGAAGCAAAATCCCCATAACACCCCACACAAGCACCTATATAGGATTGCGCAATTTGTTTTCTTGAAATCCACGACAAAGCCCGATTCGTATCCACAAATGTCAACCAGAATATCCCGGAAATATTCATTCACAGGGTGAAATACAAAATATCATATGTTAGTGTCAAAATAGTCAAAAGTTTGCTTGTAAAAACTATCAACATTTCGTATACCAGTATTGTCCATTACCGTGTATCTAATCTCATATAATAAATATTTAGAAACTGACCTGCACCGTATATATCAAAGACACAGCCAAGAATGAGAGTAAAACTTCCGGTATCTTTAAAACATCTAGCCCGTCTATATAGCTGATATGGTAGTTTCGTTTTTCATTCAAATGTAAATTGCCAAACATTCATAAACCCGTTTAAAGTTCTCTTTTTTTTTAACAAACCATGAAGCATAAGGAGTTAAACAACTACCATGTCTGTGTGAGAACTAGGATCCGGCTGTTCCATTTCTCATAAATTCATACATTTACTGTAGATAAACCATGTTTAAGATAGCCGGATATCCATAGGCGTACGTATATATACGTTTTATATATGCATTATCAAACGTTTTCAACTAGATGGAGTTCGGTTATAATTTACCAAGCGAGAGATAGCTATCAAAGAGCAGTGATGGAATACACGTGTTTTGCCGTGGACACGGTTAACACAATTTACGGGAATATAGAGCAAACTAGCCGCTGATCACCCCGGGTGTAGGTAACAAACTGGATCAGTTCAGAAATTATCTCATCGTAAATTTGGTGAGTCAGCATATTATTGTGAAGAAACTTTCAGTGTATGACCCTCCAGCGGGAAACAATGACATCACTTCTCTTTAATAATCGTAATATTGACAAGAGTTAGGCATGTTATGTTATGTTATTAAGAAATTCCCAATGATTTTTCTAGATCTATCGGAAATATCTCTGAATACAGGAAATAGCCACAATTGACCCCGTCAGATCCGGGGTACCATCTCCGTGTTGACTGGAAAAGTTCCGCGGGAATTTCCAGTGTGGTTTCCCGTTTTCAGTGAAGCAAGGTGGAGGGTATGACAATGAACAGTTTCAAATCGTTCGGAAGGGGCAAAAAAAAGACCCTTGTACACATGACAGGTTTTTTTTTAAGTCGATGTAAAGCAGGCAAACACACATAAAAGTATAACGCTAAACAAAAGCGTAGTTGGGAAATTCAGATTGATTTATAGAAGTTCAAAAATCCCCAATTAGTCATCCTGGAATATCAACTGTCAAAATACCATCATAAGTTTCGTCAAACTATTACATAAGCCATTTTCCGTGGGTTATCTTGTTATGCCAGTTTTCCCCACTGTCGTGCGATGCGTGAAGGATTGTCCCAATTGATTCCACGATCTTGTCCGTGCAGATACGTTCGGAGCCGTTTCGATGCGATCAATACGATTGCTACGCCTGACCACAATATATTATGATAAGACCTGAAAGGATCACCAAGGATCAATCATAGCGCGAATCGTGATAGTGGGAACCTAGCATTAGATACTATATAATTATGATTAAAACAGGGAATTTGGACAAACTTTCAGAAACCCTCCCTAGTGTTAAGGCCATACAATTTTAAAGTACATGTAATCGTTATATATAGGGTATTATATGGCTGTCAAGTGTAAAGGAGTCTTTTACTAGACTATGTTTCTTGCCAGACCTCCCGTCTTCCACCACGGATGATGGGAAATAACGCTTAATGATACCGAGGTACTCGCTCGACCAACACCGAGACCGAACCCGAGACACCTTGATTAGCAATCCAGCGCCTCATTCACTGCGCCACCATGACCGCCCAATAACCACTTTTATTTTATGATCAGTTTAAGTGGAATACCGCGTTTTATCAGTGAAATAAAAGTGTTATTCCACTGGCTAGCAGTAGTCCATGTTGTTTTTACCTAAAATGATTGTAAAATCATAAAATAAATAGAACATTTGTCGTTTTGTCGTGAATAACATATTTTATTTCATCTCTAATAATTATTTTAATACGCGCCATTAAGATTTTATCCTGAAACAAAGTATTGTTTCTATATGAGTGGTGAAGAGAAACCACGCAGCTTGACTCAATGACAGACCTTATGATCTAACGCGCACGTGTTACCCCCCCCCCCCACGCACACACACACAATTTATCCTTATCAGAACATTTACTCCAAGTTCATACCATGCCGATATTAGTTTTACAAAATGTTAAACAATGAATCTGTTTATAAAAAGTTCTAACTTACACATGATGATTCTTAATGCAAGTTATTTTCTTATAGGTCCACAATTCATTCTGATATTCTCGATTTTGACTTGTTGTTTCTTCAAGAGAAAGACTTTCTGATGTAATTTGATTGAACACATCCATTTTATACTTTTTATAGTTACAATTACATCATGCTATTTTGGGAATAGCTGATTTTTCAGCCTCAGTTGCCTCTCCGCGAAAATAGTTTGGGAAAACCAGGTTTAAAAATAGACTACAATTTAAAGGTCGTCGCAGTGAATATAGTCACAATTTATTGGACATCTTTAAAACCGGAGTCTGGGTTAGACGGTACGAGAAGACGGCGGTTTCATTGGTTCAGAGCTGAACAAGTAGTTAAAGACAGACTTGAAATTCTACTCCATTAACTTCCTCTCTTCCCGGTAGTGCATTCAGGACATTAAAAATACCGCGTGTTAATAGACAGATAAACACCCACACCGCGTGCAATGTTTTATCACCAGACACATAAAGTTTAAACCATTCACAGAAGATATTTTGTATTTCAAAGAAAGCATCCGCTGGCGGCTTTATTTTGTTTTAATAGCAATCAGAGAGAACAGGGGCTCTGCGGCCTAATCTTATATAAAATTTCAACTATCAAGGAGTCTTTTACACAGGGTCATTTATCGAGACTATCTTATGGGTTCCATTTTATCTTAATAATTCACTTGTGCGTAGGGGTCTTCAGCTGTGGGAAGAAACCGGAGGGCATGGACAAAACGCTCAAGGTTGGACAGTCAACCCTGCCCCTTGTCACTAAAAGTACGGAATCGAAACCCCACTACTTAAATCATTGGTAGACCTTAGGATCTAACGCGCACGACTTAAAACAGGGTATCTTTATTCTTATTTATGTATAAATGAAATGAAATGGGGTTTAACGCCCTACTGTTCTGCTCCTATACTGGGCTAATGAAGACGGGAATACGTCATACAGTGAGTGTGCTATGAGGGAAACTTTGCCGGGGCAGCGGCACTACGGCCTATTTATGTATAAAAATAAACCACGTCCAGTTGTTGTAGGGAATTCAAACAGGCAAAATTTCCCGCATAGCACACTGTATGGCGTATGCCCGTATTGTCGGTCATCGATCATTAATTATATCATCGAAATTTCCTTAAATTGACTAATGGATAAAACATTTAAAATCTGTGTGATTTAAATAAAAAGTGTATATCGCCACGCTGCTCTAAGCGCGACATGGGTTTCGGGCATATTTGTTTCATCAGTGAAATTTCTGGTGACATGTGAATGCAACGACAACAGCCTGGTTCATTGATTTGTTGATTGGAGTTCAGATGTCTTCGTTATAATGGACCACTTTCAGGCTGCTGTATTCATGTCCTGAACTACGTAGCAAGAAAACACGTTTTCCAGCTTGTAATTTTCATCAATTTTGTGGGAGAGACAGGCCCCAACAAATCCCCCGACGGCGTGTTTCACGACTTCTGCACTCGACGGTGACCTTTAATTCAAAGACATCGACATCAATTTTTAAAAGACATAGTAAAAGTCAAATCTTACGAGATTATCGCCGGTCTTATCGGAAAAATGCCATTTTAGTACTACGTTCATTTGAACAAATCTGAATAGGCTAATAGAACAATAGAACAAGCCCAACTTGATGCTGACAAGCTCACCTTGATGGCCATCGAAACTTCTTAAAATGATCATAATCTATCATTATCAACTTACATTTGATGATCTTAATGTCTTTTCCTAGATATTTTGATATATGATCCAACAGAGAGGTAATATATATGCTAAATAGATAATTAATATCTACACTCAAGTTAAATCAACTGTATCTATTCATTTTAAATCTTACGTCGAGCTGAACAAACTATATGATTTATTGTCATTAAAACACCAATGATTGGTTAACAGTGTGAAATTAAAGACTATAATTGAATCGTTGTAGAAATAATCATATTAATACGGTTGAACATACCTCCAAGGTAGATTCAAAGACATAATATAAACTAAAACATTATTACAATTCTCAATAGGGGGAGGGGTATAATTTATTGTGTAACATTGTGATTATAATCAAAAACAATAAATCACGTCCTATACCACAAACACGTCATATAGGGGATCACGTGGCTAAGTGGGTAAGACGCTAGCTCGCTAGCCTGGAGGTCGGGTGTTCGATCCATGCATTGGCCGAGAAAGTTCATCCAGATTTTCCGGCGTGGTTCTCCCTTCCCAGTGATGCAGGACGGAGGGCCTGACAAAGAAAGCTGTCTAGTCGTTCGGATGGGACGAAAAACCGAGGTCCCGTGTACACATTGGCGTGCACGTAAAAGATCCCTTGGCAGTTGGAATTCGATATAAGAGTAGGCCGTAGTGCCGCTGTCCGGGCAAAATTTACCTCATAGCACACTGTATGGTGTATGCCCATCTTCATTAGCCCAGGTTAGGAGCAGAACAGTAGGACGTCAAACTCCATTTCATTTCATTTCATTTCACAAACACGTCATAGCAAAAAATCTCTCCTATTGCCAATATTTTAATGTACCAAGTCTATTGTATCCAGATATTTAAAGCGTGTTAACAATATATTTTTTTTAAAGAGAAATATCCCTTGGCAGTTTAGTGTCTCGTGAACACAATACTTCGGCCATTTTTAGTTTTCATTTATATGCCCATATAACGGCGTTGTGTCCAACTCTGGCAGATTGTTCATTTAGCTTCCAGGGAATATTTTGATGTCAAATTTTCAAATTCAAAAGTTCATAATCAATATGGATATTCCGGGTAGAAAGAAACTATTGAAAAACCCAACAAAATTATTTATTTGTCGGGTTGGGACTAACATAGGGTGCAATTTAATATCAGTAATTCTCTTGCTCGTATGGGTATTTGCAGGTGACTGGAGTACCCCGACAAATCCCACGAAGATAGGCATGCAACCCTACACATTGTTACGTACATGTGTGAGATCGAATGGTAGACCTTATGATGTAAAGAACACGCGTTACTCCCCACCCCAACCCCAGCACACACCGATATGGATAGCGAAATGTCGGTCAACTCTAACATGTGGTGAATAACAATGATATAATGTCACTTTAACCTTGGCAATTCTGACGTCTGCTAGTCGCTCTGTTCACATAGAACACGCGTAACTGGACTTTCCATTATTGACTATACTTCTCTGAAAATGGCCGGTCGCTGTGACATCATCTCGTTAAGTATATACAGTAGAATCTGTATG